CGACTTAAATTCTTAACGAGCCGAAACGAACTACTTGATATTCGATTCGAAAAGCTCGTGAGCAGCTCGAAAACATAATATATTAAGATTTTATTTTTTAAAAAATAAATTATTAATTATATTAAGATTTTATTTTTTCAAAAATAAATTATTAATAATATTACCATTTAAGTATTGTTTTTTTAAATACAGTAAGATTTTCGTGTATTTAAGGTTCATGTTTGAGTTTGAGGCTTCAATCGAGTTAAGTTTAAGAATTTTTTTCCATTTCGAGCTTTTTCAAGCTGCTCACGAGCTTCAGTTCAGGATTTCGAGTTCGAATCGAGCTTGAAAATATTAAGCTCGAGATTTTTCGAGTCGAGTCGAGCTTCATTTCAGAGTTTTTGAGTCGAGTCGAACTCAGCACTACTCGAGCTCGACTCGGCTCGTTTACACCCCTAACGACACATGTCCATCCCTATTCATACCCATCATATTTAGAAATTGTATGTTATTAACATATGTGCGTTTACTCTTAACAAATATTTTTTGATTCGTCAATGCTACTATAAGAAAAAAAAGTTGATTTGTTCGATTAATAATAGTGGTAGACTTGAACAATTCACTTGTCTAAAAATATAATCATTTATGGGTATCGTTATTATTGAGTACGAGGGTAAGCCGACAATCTGTTATATACAACAACAACAACAAAATTCAATTCCAAATAACTTTAAGTTGTAATTTCCTAAATTCACCTTGAAAAAATTATGAATTTAATTTTTTAAAGAAAATATATAAATATTTTACAATTTGTAATATTATACAAATATATAATAAGGATAATTTGGTCAAATATATATTCCAATAATCTTTTATTCATTTAACCAAACACGATAATCTTACATTCTTGCTAAACCAACCAAACACAAAATATAACATTCATAGCAATCCTATTCCCTGGTAATTTTTTATTCCTACTGGTAATCTTATATTCCGTGAACCAAACGCATCCTTAACATATATTTTTTAAGTTACAATTATCAATATTCAGTGACGACGACGATGATGATTATAGTGACGATGATGATGCATCCATACATTCATACAGAAAAAAAATCAAAGAATCTTTCTGTACTTATGAAGATAAAATGAAAGAATGTATCACATGGTAGGGCATGGAAATAGACTTTGATAGAGACCAACGTATCTATATATATTGACTATTGAGTGATATTTTCAATGTGATGGATCTTCTTCGATGAATTATTGCAGCAAACATCGTATCTGATAATGTTTAGGCAAATGGGTCCAAAAAGCTTCCCAACAAGACAGCAATGACCAAACTTGAAATAAATCCAATTCCCCAGCACATTATTGTTTTTCTTTACCTCTGTCACAGTGACATACTCTGAATATGTGTGGAGTTATCTTCATCAACAAAGAGATAATAATAATAATAATAATAATAATAATAGTAATAATAAGTGTAGACATGATGTGTTTTATATATTTTTTTTCGGTCCGTCTGAAGAATTTTATTTTTTTAAATATATTTTATATAATTTATCGTTCTCGTGACGAGTTTAATATACATGGTAACAAACTATCTAAATCCTAAAATAATTTCTCAACATCTATATTTTTAAAAAAAGAAAATTCCACACAATATTTCCAAATTTTATTGAATATGGTGTCATTGCTATGAATTATATGTAGAATTCAGTTGATTGCTTTCCATTTGTTGTTTGAGGGATGGGCATAGGTGGGGTTTTTGGTCCACTCGACCCGAGAACAATGAATCTTCCATCCGAGATTCGACTTGATTGAAACAAGATTTCACCCGACTCGATATATAACTTAAAATCTCAACTCGACCCGAAATAATAAAAATATTATTTTTATTCAATAAAAATAGTGACTTAATTGAAAAAATAATATATAAATGGGTATTATTGTAATTATCCCTAAATATATAAGGTAAAATTATTTTTTCGGTTCGATTAGTATTTTTCACCCTAAATCCGAACCCGACCCGAATCGGGTCAGAACCCATCAGGTTTGAGTCTCATGCCCATGCGCCCATCCTTAATCAGGGGTGGCTTTCTAAAAGCACTTTTAGATGAAAAACCTATTTTAACTGTAAAATTAATGTCTAACGGGTATAAAATTAAAAAAAAATTACGGTGGAAACGATTGTCTCATACCAACGGTAAAAGCTAGGTTTTCTAGTTTTTCTATTTTAACTTTATGTTTAGAAATAAATTATAATTTTACCTTTACTAATGCATAAGTTCTACTTAATTATATATTTACATTTTATTATAATAATTACAACTTTACTTTTCAATATTGATCGACACACCTCAATTAAAATACTTTTATCATATTAAAAATTGGAGAATAATTGAATTTTTCAGCAGATTCGATTAAAATGATAAACGACTTAACGAAACGATATTTAAATCTAAACAATTAATCGATTATTAATTTATTATAAGTCCTGATTATCTTTATCAAATCGACTTAATATCAATCAGACAAATTTAGTAATTCATATATTATGCACGAATCGAGCAACCTCAGTAATTCATATATTGTGCATGAATCGAGTGACATCGGTTATAAATGAATTATTGATATTTCTTGAGGTTTCGTGTTTGAGTATCAAGAGTATCATGAAAGTAAACGTTTAATGTCAAATGGTTGAAAGTTATTTTCGAATAAATATTACCTTACGCTTACCCAATAATCCATATATTATATATTTGTTATATATTATAACTAAATTTAGAATAAATTAAATGTAATACACATTAAGATTGGGTATTTTACCGTGGTCATATTTTATGTAATTATGATTTTCTGACACATATTTTCTATAATATTTATATAATAATTTTGCAATTTTAACCTATTATTTTCATTCATTTCATTTTGATATTAAGGGTGCGTTTGGTTCACAGAATATAAGATTACTAGCGGGAATAGAATTACCGGCGGGAATAAGATTACTTGGAATGTTGTACTTTGTGTTCGGTTCGTTGAGCAGAAATGTAAGATTACAATGTTTGGTTAAAGGAATAAAAAATTATTTGAATGTATATTTTATCAAATTGTCCTTATTATATATTTGTTTTTTTTAACAAGTTGAATTCTACTATAATTAATTTATATATTTTCTTTAAAAAATTTAAATTCATAAAATTTATATAATTTTTTTACAAAATTGAGAAGATAAATATGTTTAATGAAAGAGTAAAATTTTATTTTAACCCCTGAACTTCATATAAAATTCTAATTATGGATTTTTTTGTAAATCTAAAATAGTTTAAGGATAAATTTGTAATTTAACCTTCGTAGAATTTTTTTATTCAACGACAGAAGAATGATATTTTTTGAAAAAACAATTTAAGGACATTTAATCCAAAACGCCGGTAATCCAACAATACCTAAGGGAATTGGGTAATCACATTCCCGGTAATATATCCCCAAAATACCACTGTTGGGAATAAAGGATTACCGGGGACTGAGAATATTTGTCAACCAAACGGAGGAATGACATTTTATTCCCCCGATAATGTGAGATGACTTGAACCAAACACGCCCATAATGCTATCAAGTTTAGAAGTTCTCTCCAAAATCCCTAACACATTAATAAAGGTATTCCTTACTATACATCATCTGATAAAAAGTACTATTTTCAAGAATAGATTTAAAAAAATATATTATTTATGAAAATAATAAAAAGTAATATTCTCATAAAATTACCTTAATATTAGTTAAATTAATGGATTTGTTTATTTGATTATCAATGTGTTTAACTATTCTAATTGATGACATAACTTACTTGTCCATCACTAGCCAATTTAATTTAAATTGATAAAACTCATATTATATATTTCCTACTATATATTATACAAACTGTATAAGTTAAAGCTTACATAATGATAACTATTTGATTATTTCAGAAATAAAAGATAATTTTATTATTTTTAGAAGATTTAAATTCTAATAGTTAAGTACGTAACGTATATACATTATTAATTAATTAAAAAATTGTAAACAAATATTATCTTAAGACTATCTTAAAATCCCAAACTCTAAACATATATAATTATAATTAGGGATGACAATGAATCGAGTTAGATTCTGGTTTTTGTCAATCGGACTCAACCCGAAAATATGCACCCTCCACCTTAATCCAAACCCTATCCGAAAATATGCACCCTCCACCATAACCTAGCTCAATCTAAAAATTTTATATCCTGCATTCAATCCAACTCGACCCGACCTGGTATAAATTAAGGATTTAATTAAAAATAAAAATTTTAAGAAAATTACATTATTATCCTCATGTATGAAATTTTTTTTACCCTCCACCCGACCAACTATACCCCTTAAAAAATCTAACCCAACCCTATTCGAACCCAATTTTTTTTTAAAAAATTCGACCCGATCAGATAAAAAACCGTCGGATGCGGATGAAATTGCCATCCCTAATTCTAATAAACAAGCATGTGTGAAATTAGTTTTTTCATATTATATTTTAGGGATAAAGTACCATTTACTCCATAAAACTTTGACATTTTTTTTCTAATTTGGTCTTTGAACCGTTCCATTCATGTTAGTCTTTAAATTTGACAAGTTTAAAATTTGATAATTTTTAGGACATTTTACTTTGAAATTGTGTCATCAAAATGAAGAAAAATCCAACTTCAAACAAATATTAACGTGGACAAAAAAAAATTAAAGATTAAATTGAAAAATCTACCAAATTTAGGGACTAAATGCTGTTTTTTTTTCCTTATATTTTATATCAAACAAATGACTCTGTCCGGTCTGTCAATTTCCCACTTATCGAGTACCTTCCAAGTTCCCTCCTTAACTTCATTTTTTTAAAATTAAATTTATTTAATGTAAAGCTGTAAAACCTCTAAATCGCATTAATGTCTCACTCTTATATCTATGAATTATATATATATATGTGTGTGTGTGTGTGTGTGTGATTTGTAGATTGAAGTAAGTAAAGCTTCTCTCTTCTTTCGAACTTGGTGTATGGGGCGTGTCCCTTAGCATCGGATCTGGGGTTTCCTTGCTTTCTCTGAAAGGTATATTCTTTTTATGTACTTACTTACTAATTATTATTTTTATCTGATAAAGCTTGCTGTTTTATTTACTGGGTATTGTTGAATGTGGGGTTTCGATTGCTACATTTTCTGGGTTTCGATCCCTTCTTTTTATGCATCAAAGCCTCCTCCTTTGGTTCAGTCCCCAAGGAATCTTGATTTTTTATAAAAAAATATATATGGGAATTTTAGTATTTTATGATTGGAAAACCCTTTAATATTCTGTTGATGGATGCAGGGTCTGCTCATTGGCGTGTTTATTGAGTTAAATTTGTGAGTTTAATCCGAGGAAATTCACCATTTTTGCTTCTTCAAGTTGATGTTTGTAATGTGTTTGTGATTAGGACTGTTACAGTTTGTAGTGATAGATTAGATGGATCCTAGAGACAAAGCTTTAGAATTTGACCTTGAAAATGGAGTAGCTGTTAATGGTAGAGGCGATTTCGTTGTGCCGTTGTTGTCCGGTGATGTCTCGGGTTGTGGTAGTGTGTATGTGGATAATTTGCAGGCAATGCGGAGCTCGAATTGTGATAAGGATGGTAAGGAGAATAGATTAGTGTTGAAAGAGAAACGTAAACCTCCTAAGCCTCCTAGACCTCCGAGACCTCTGTCGTTGGATGCGGCCGACCAGAAGTTAATTAAGGAGATAGCAGAACTTGCGAGATTGAAGCGCGCAAGGATCGAGCGGATCAAAGCCTTGAAGAAGATGAAGGCTGCTGAGGGAACAACTTCACACGGCAACAACGTGCTTGCCACCGTGTTTACCGTCATTTTTTGCATTGTCGTGATCTTCCAGGGTAATATTTCTTTGAGATTTCCAGTAAAGATGCTCGGATTCAGTATCATCAACTATCTTGCAAGAGCCAGTTGAATATAGCATAAAATTTGTTTGTTGTTTTTGTGCAGGAATGTCAACTGGAGGTAGACCGACAAGTAACGAAGAATCTCCCGTGCCAGCCGGAGCCGGAGCACTGAACAGAGGTCTAATCTCAGTTCAATTCTCAGAGAAACCATCTGCCATCATTCCAAATCAACCAGTTTCAGGATCTCCCTAGTACGTTTATTATCACATTTTGATATGTTCTTGGTTCGTTAATCAAATAATGATAAAAATACGATTTCGAAAACTCTATTTGTGGCTATAGGGACAAGTACTTGTTGCTCCCTTCCATCAAAGCCATTTAACCAAACAACGTTTTGTGTTCACGGCCGTCGAGTCTCCGGAGTTTTAACTTTCCCGGTGATTTGTCCCTGCACCCTTGTATGCAAGTCAGGCGGGTTCGATTTAAATGTACGGTGCCAATTTTTGGCCGTGGCTCTCGAATAATTAGCCTACAGCCTGCACAGCAACATACCTGGTCATGTGTACTGTTTCCCCCTGATACGCCATGTTCATTAAAACTCTTTGATTTCGAATAATAATAGCATAATACTCATGTTTCTTGCTGGAGAATCTGATTTGAATTTTTTTGAGATCAACACTCAAGTTGACTTACAAATCTGAATACTATATGTTTTATCTTTTTCTTGATCCTTACTCTGCATTAATCTACTTCATTTGGTCAGGCTCGAGTTCTACAAACCCCGATATCTTCAATATCGGTATAAAATTTCTTCGTATTTCGAAGGCTTCCTTGTCTAGATATATGCATCGTTGACGTCGGAGCAAGGAGTTTCCGGTATTCTTTGTTTCTCCGTCGCATGTCGGTGCTACCACTCGTCGTACGATCGGTATCTTGCAGGTTAAGTAAGAGCTTGATTTTACAAGATACCATGGAGAATTAAATGAGTATTAATCCGGATGACAAGTAATTGACGATCCTTCAGGGTCAGGTCATGTGGATTCACGTGTGCTTGTTTTTGTTTTAATTTTGATTTAGAATTGAATTAAGTCAAGGGTAAACTATAATTTCGTCACCCAACTTTATTCTCACTTCTATTTTGATCATTTTCCTCATTTTTAAAAAAAATTATCGTATTTCTCTAAAAATGAATATAAATTGAAAATTTTATATTTTCATCCTTGTGTCATGTCAATGTTGCAATTGTCATTTTTCGACATCTTCTCCGATCTCAAAATATCAACAAACTCGCATCATTGTCTCTTACCACTCTATCAATTTAGATTTTACCTAATTAACTTTAAAGCTCATAAAAACTCAATTTAAACTTAAAACTTGCGAAATCCTAAATCATTTTGATCTATAATATTCATAATCCAAGTAGCATTAAATTAATATATATAGTTTGTTTCACCTTTTCCATCTTCTCACCGTTAAGATATTAGAAAAAAATATTTTATCATCGAGAAATAAAAATAAAATAAAACTATGTATTTTTTCACAAAAATAAGAAAATTTGAGAGCATTTCATATGACCATCCAGCTCAGTTGGTAGAGCACAATGTTCTTAACCTTGAGGTCGTGGGATCGAGTCCCACGGAGGGTATTTCATAATTCGGAGGTCTCTTATGGAAGTTGCTCTCAACCTGGAGTTGGGGGTAGCCTACTATCTTACCTCCCCCTTACCCCATATATATGGGAAAAATGGATAGCCATTTTTGAGAGCATTTCATAATTTTTTAAGTATTTAATAATAAAATGAACAAAATATGAACAAATTAAAAGTTTAATTAATAAATTGAATTTTTTTAAACTTTAATAACCAAAACAAGAGTGAGAATAACGATCAATAATGAAATCATCGATTTTTTAATCATAAATTTTTATGATAAAATCATAAAATCACATATGGATAATAAATCACAACCTAACAAAAAAAATATTGATTTTTTTTGATAAAATCCTTAGAATTATGGAAAGAAATTAATTTTCAATCTCCTCTTCACATCTCCATGCAAAGATAAACCAAATTCTTTCCTAGTTATATATATATATTATGGCAATGGCAAGACATTGCATCAGAATCATTCTCTAAAAGTAAACCAATGCAATCAAGACCACAGCAATGGCAACAACTGGCTTTCTGTTCTCCACAGCCATTGTTTTCATTTCTTTATCTGTCATCTCCCTACTTCCTTCTGCAATTTCTGCAGTTTTTTCGGATGATTACAAAAACTCATCGGTCCCCAAAACTGATCTGGATTTGTTGGAGTTCCCTTTGAATCTTGAGTATTTAGAAGCTGAGTTCTTCTTGTTTGGTGCTTTGGGTCAAGGCTTGGATAAAGTTGCTCCACATTTAGCTGAGGGCGGTCCATCTCCCATTGGTGCCCAAAAGGCCAATCTTGACACTCTCACCAATGCTATTATCCTACAATTTGCTTACCAAGAAGTTGGTCACTTGAAGTTGATCCCTTTCTCTCAAAACCCTATTTTTATTTTTGTGCCTAATAGTCATATCGAGTCGAGTTGAACTCTAAATATTATTTTTTTAATGTATCGAACTTGTTACTGCTTGACTCGATGTGTGTTTGGTGTATGTATATTTGATGGAACTATGTGTATTCTTTGAATGTAGGGTGATTAAGAAGATAGTGAAAGGGTTTCCAAGGCCACAACTTGATTTGAGTGCTTCATTATTTGCAAAAGTGATAGATAAAGCATTTGGGAAGCCATTGAATCCTCCTTTTGACCCTTATGCCAATAGCATTAACTTCTTCATTGTTTCCTATTTGATTCCTTATGTTGGACTCACCGGATATGTTGGTGCTAACCCTAAACTCCAAAGTGCCATTTCAAAAAGGGTAAGTTCCCCGTCGTCACTTGACAATTCACACGTATATTATAGACATACCTGCTTGAATTAGCAGTGTTAGTTTAACTTAAAATCGACGTATCCCAACCAAACACAACCTGATAGGGTCAGATTTAAAAAGAAATTGAATTGGGTTCAAGTTAGATTTTATGTAGGGGTGAGGTCAGTTCAGGTCGGGTCAGATTCATGGAGGGGGAAAACCTTTAACCCAACCTGACTTGGGGGTAATAGTATAATTTTTCATATAAATTTATGGATAATTGCTATAATATCCCTCTTTCTATAGTTTTTTTTATCATGTCCTTATATTGTATCGGGTCTAGGAATGGGCACAAGACCCGAAGCCGATGGGTTCCGACCCAACCCAACCCGATTGGGTGGGCTTTTCTTAAAAAAATTTGGGTTTGAGTCGGGTTCTTTTAGAGGTTATGTTTGGGTTGGGTTGAGTTTGAGTTTAGGGTGAAAATACCTGACCCGACCCAAAAAAATATAATTTTACCTTATATATTTAGGGATAATTACAACAATACTCCTCTATATATTATTATTTTTCAATTAAATCCCTATTTTTATTGAGTAAAAAAATATATTTTTAATAAATATATTATTTTGGGTTGGGTTAGGTGGAGGGTGTATATTCTTCGAGTTGGGTTGGATCGGGTGGAGGATGTATAATTTTCTGGTTGGGTCAGGTTGACCAAAACCTGACCCAAACTCATCCCTAATCGGGTCAAATTATACTCTAAACATCCGAGTTGGATTAGCTTCAAATGGAGGAAATATGCTCTTCGAGTTGGGTCAGTCAGGTGGAATAAATATATTTTTCGAGTCGAGTCGGGTTAACAAAAAACCCAATCTGACCCGACCCATTGTCATATGTAGCTCGAACCTGGATCCTCTAGGACGAACAACATTCTCTTTTACCTGTCAAAGCACACGTTAAACTCCCCATCTCCATTTAAAGTCCAGAGACCGAAGGGATAATTAAATCATTTTTCTTTTTGCAGCTGGTTGCGGGTCTCCTAGGAGTAGAATCAGGCCTTGTGTGCCATTTGAAGAAAGCGTTCTCCTCGCATGTGGTACTCTAGACTTATACAGTTCTTGTTTTATCCTTTTCCACCTTCTCACCGTTAAGATATTAGAAAAAAATATTTTATCATCGAGAAATCAAAAGAAAAATTAAAACTATGTATTTTTCACAAAAATAAGAAAATTTGAGAGCATTTCATACTTTTTTTTAAAAAAAAATATTCAATCATAACTTCACTAAGTATTTATTAATAAAATGAACAAAATATTAACAAATTAAAAATTCAATTGATAAATTGAAATTTTTAAAACTTTAATAACTAAAATAATAGTGAGAATAACGATCAATAATGAAATCATCAATACTACTTCAGAGAGTTGGAATGTTCTCACCAACTATGATTCTGCTATTAATGGTAGAATATGGCTTCTTTGGAAAAAAAGAATCGATATTTCTCTCTGTCATTCTACTGATCAAAGCATTATTGTTAAGTGTCTTTTTAATAACTCTCATTTTATTATCACTGCTATATACGGAAGTAATAGTGGATCTCCTAGAAGACTTATTTGGCAACACCTTAAAAACCTTAATACTAGGTTTGGGTCTCTCCCTTGGATTCTGGGAGGTGACTTTAATACCTATCTTCACCATAAAGAAAGCTCTGATTCTCTTATTCCCGGACCATATTCATCCTCTGAAATGACTGACTTTCAAGAATTGGTTCAAGATCTTTCTCTTTATGATCACCCTTTCTTTGGCCCTACTTATACTTGTAGCAATAAACAAAAAGATACGTATCTTGCAAGGAAGCTAGATAGAGTGTTGATTAACACCCTCTGGGTTATTTCTTTTCAGAATTCGTTTGTAGAATTTACAGCCCCAGGCCCTTCAAATCACTGTATGGATCTTGCCTGGATCAATAAAGAGATTCAAATTAATAGGCCTAAGCCTTTTAATTTTTTCAATTTTTGGTCTAAGCACCCTAATTTCCTAGAACATGTCCTCCATTCCTGACAGCAACCTTCCCAAGGAAACCCTATGATTAAACTGTTTCTTAAGCTAAAATGCCTAAAACCTTGCCTGCAGAAGCTCAACAAGGATAACTATAGTGATATCTCTGCTAGGGTAAGGCTTAAAAAGAGAGAACTGGAACAAATTCAGATTTCAACTCTTAATGGAAACAATTATTTAGTTAAAGAATTGAATGTTCAAAAGGAGTTGAATGACTTAGAGGAAACTGAGTACATGTTCCTTAAACAAAAATCGAAAGCCCAATGGATCAAAGATGGAGATAATTGCACCAAACTTTTTCATTCTACCTTAGCCTCTAAAATTAAAAGAGACACCATAAGGATTCTTGTTAACAATGAGGGTAAAAGGTTAGAGACGTGATGATATGGCTAATGAAATAATTGATTTCTTCCATCATCAACTACGTGACACTGATTCTAAAGTTCAATCTCCTGACCCTTATACCTTGAGAAACTTGCTTCAATTACATATGCCTACTGAGGTTACTACTGGTCTGATTAAAAATATCACTACTGATGAAATCAAAGAAGCTTTATTTAACCAAGGGAATGACAAAGCCCCTGGCCCTGATGGATTTACTCCTCTTTTTTTCAAACACTCCTGGCCTTTCACAGGGGATGATTTTATTGAGGCTATCAAATACTTCTTTCAAGAGTCTAATATCCATCCTGCTTTTAATTCCACCATCATTGCCTTGATTCCTAAAACCCTGAATCCTAGCAAAGTTAGGAACTTTAGACCTATCTCTTGTTGTTCTGTTGTCTACAAAACTATTACTAAAATCCTTGTCAAAAGAATGAATATGTTGTTGCCTGACCTTATATCCCTCAATCAAACTGTTTTCGTGAGAGGTAGATCTATCGTTGACAACACTCTCCTTGCTCAAGAATTAGTCAAAGGCTATGGTAGAAAGAATATTTCACCAAGATGTGCCCTTAAAATTGACTTACAAAAAGCCTTTGATTCCCTTAACTGGGATTTCATATCCTCCATTCTTAGAGCCATAGGACTACCTCCCATTTTCACAAAATGGATCGAAACTTGCTTCAAAGAAGCTAGATATTCCATTTCTTTTAATGGTAGTCTAATAGGGCATTTTAAGGGTCAGAGAGATATTAGACAAGGAGACCCCTTATCTCCAATCCTTTTTGTGATAGTTATGAATATCCTCTCTAAAATTCTCAATCTTGCTGCTACTAGAGGTATATTTGGATACCATCCTAAGTGCAAAAAACTTGGAATTACTCACTTGTCTTTTGCTGATGACCTCTTAATCTTTTGCAAAGGAAACCTTTAATCTATTGTTGGAGTTACAAGTGTTTTAAACCATTTCTATGTTTTATCTGGTCTGAACCTTAATGTTAATAAAACTAAATTTTATGCGGCTGGTATTCCGGATAGAACCTTGGACTCTATTAAATCTGTCACTAGCTTTAAACAAGGTTTCATGCCTGTTAGGTACCTTGGAGTTCCTCTAGTTACTCGGAAGCTTACTAAAAAAGACTGTTTACCTCTCTACGATAATATTAAACGTAGGCTTCACCATTGGTCTGGTAAACTTTTAAGCTATGTTGGACGTCTTGAGCTTATTAAAACTGTTCTTTACAGAGTTGTTGTAACACCCCCAACCTGTACCCGACCCGAATCTGAGTCTGAGGTGTCACATTGACTTTTCAAACTTTGTCTCTTGACAAAATTCAGAGAAAATTTAAAACTTCCATTAAAATAAAAGCGGTTTATTTATATAAATAGACCAAAATAACCAAAATCGATCAGAGCATATTCAACTCAATCACTTAGTACATGCCAACTATATTCAAATTAACCAAACACATTTAAATCATCTATTTTCTGATATGAAATTTTGTAAGGGAGATGCTGACCTGTCTTGCTCTTCTTCGCTTCTTTTCTCGCTTCTTTAACCTACGTGTGAAACAATCACACACTAAGTCGAAGACTTAGTGAGGCATATAAAAACTCAATTGAAACTCTAATTCCTAAAAATGCATGAACATATCGTACAATAATATCATACAAGTAAATATAACATTTCATATAATCACATGCATACAAATATATAAATCGTATCTTAATTATCAATAACCTCATCTCTTAATCAATATTCCGTCCATTTATGTCTTTTAGTTATATATTCTTATACTTAAACTTCTTAACAATCATATCATTCATTTAACCATTAATATATTCAACATTACATATAACATATATTACATTTCACACAGCAAAGCAGGTACAGTACATATCATGTATTTGTTTGTATTTCTTTATTAGCCCATGTACACCTATGAGAACTATAGATATGTGAGTCTATAGAGGTTGTGCACTAATGCTGTCACCACAGCTCGTATAAATGCACCGAAGTGCCACGTAGAATTGCACCGTAGTGCCGCGTAGAAATGCACCGAAGTGCCATATAATATGTCCCTAAGGACCACGTAGAAATTCCTTAAGAATCATATACATATGCCAAAGATCAAGTATGTGTCTCAAAAGACCTCACACATGTTCCAAAGAATACATATATGTCCCGAAGGACCGCATAGACCCTCGACTCTTGGCATGCAAACTATATCCCTAGCTCTCATGACACATATCATGGGCATTATCTTTTATATCCTTTTTCATATTCATGTAAACATATCACATACTCATCTAAACTCGTAACTTCATTCACATATACATGTAATCACATAGTTCATGTAAATTCTCATAGTTTCTTATCACATCATGTGATCATATCACTTATAAGTGCATAACTCATATTCACATATCTTATCTACATGTATACACATGAATCAAATGGCACATACCAAATCATATGAATATATATATATATGTATCACAATAAACCTTGTCTTAATTATTCTATCAGTAATCTATACTTACATGGCTTGTCTCTTACAATAATATCTTTACATATATTATTTTATGATCCCTCATTATCTTATAATAATATTTTACTTACATCATATATCAAATGCAAAACATATCAACATACATCACATATACTCATATCAAAACATGCTTATATCCATTAATTTATGCATTATAATATAGGAAATAGACTTCCCGCAAGTCTTATTTCCTTTACACATCATATAACTAGCATGCACTCACCTGGCCTCACTAGTCAATACCGATCTCTAAACTTTCCCCTTGATCGATCTTACTTGTCAATGATTCCGGAACTTGTTTAGGCTCTGTATCTACATAGTTATACATTTTAAGGCAATTATCAGATACCTACACCTTTTAATCCGATACTAACAACTTAAATGAACTTAATAAACTAATATTAACTTTTTCCTTTAGGGGTGTACCGATGCACTATAGGTGCATCGGTACACAAAATAGCTTCGAAGTATTGATGCATCGATGCACCCCTTACTGCATCGATGCACCTTCAAAATTTGTCTTGGTGCATCGGTGCACACTCATAGTGCATCGATGCATTCCTGGCATTCGATGTTTCTTCTTTTAAGCATGCATCGGTACATATTGAATGTATACCGATGCATCTTGCCCAGAAATTGCTCTTTAGGCACGAAAATCCATTTAATTAAACTCAAATGCTTCATATTTTATCCCTTTCAAATTCCTAATTTACATATACATGTTAAACTCATTTATATTCATTTATCTCATCTTGAACCTTAATATCCTCTCCTCTTTATTAACTTCAAGAATCATACCAGATTTTCAACATGTTTTAAAACTCATTTTATCACTTCATATCTCTTAATTTAACCCTTGACAAGTCAAATTCAACTTCAAAATCTATTAACTCCTTCTATTTCACTAATTCACTTAAAAACTCTTCATATTTAATCCTTCATAACTCATCCATTTTGAAGTTTCAACATACTTTAATCTCTAAATAATCTTTCTTAGCACCCCAAGAATAAAAACTAAGCTTAAAACTCAAGAATTAACCAATTGAAATTAAGCTTACCTTTGCCATGGAGCTTACGGGAAGAAGAAAGCAAGAAGAAGGATAAGCTTCGAGACTTCTCCATTAAATCCCACATGTTTTTCCTTAAATAAAGAAGAGAAAATATCTTTAATGTTGAAAAGACCATAATAACCTTCATTCTTAATGTCCTTGCAATTTAATCCACTACTCAAATAGTCCTATTTAATTTCTTATACTTTTCAATCTTTCAAAAAAATCAATCCTCACAATTCCAAAATTTCTATTTTAGTCACTAACCCCAATTTTAGGATATTACAGTTGTAAACTTTTAGAATAGGCAATTTCTCCTACCTCAGAAAGTTATCAATCGTCTAGAACAACTTTTCTCTCGTTTTCTTTGGAAAGGAAACGATACAGCTGCTAAAGGAGCTAGGATTAGCTGGGATATACTTTGTTGTCCCAAATCTGAAGGAGGTCTCGGGTTGAAGACCATTCATACCTGGAATAAAGCTTGCATGTTACAACTCATTCGGAAAATAATGGCTGGAGAGGGCTCTCTATGGGTTGCTTGAATTCACTGCTCTGTTATTAAAAATAATGATCTTAACGACATTAATGTTAATTCTTCCCACAGATGGACCATCAGAAAACTAATGAAAAATAAAAGTGAAGCCTCTTCAATTTTAACTGTTGGTGCCACGAATACAAAAGAATTATGGGAAAATATAAGAGTTCATAGAGATAAGGTTTCCTGGCAAAAGGTGATTTGGTTTCCACTTCACATCCCTAAGCTAAGCATTATCTCTTGGATGGCAATTTTGGATCGTCTCCTACTCGAGATAGGCTTATTAGAATGGGTATTACGACTGAAAGTATTTGTATTTTGTGCAATGAAGAACATGAATCTAGAAATCATTTGTTTGTTGACTATATTTATGCTACTTCACTATGGAATTCTATTATGAATCTATCTAGCATGAGAGATACTCACAGGTCTTGGGATTCAAGGCTTCAATGGGATGTTCAAACATGGAAGGGCAAGTTTCTTCTTTCTACTGTAATGCGGATTGCCTGGACTGCTTTCATATACTTTATTTGGGAGGAGAGAAACAGAAGAATTTTCAACAGAGGAACAAGAACAGCAGACCAACTTCTCAAGGCTATAAAGGAGCTTGTTCGAATCAAAATCAGTGACAAGGGTTTTAATAGACTAGACTATGTTAATTCTAGACTTTGTAATTATTGGGGGTATAGACTAACTTTATGTAAATTTGTGTTTATACTCCCAATTGGGATGACAGTTGTACGATGTACCTTTTCTATTTGGGTAATAAAATTCTACTTATCCAAAAATAATAATGAAATCATCGATTTTTTAATCATAAATTTTTATGATAAAATCATAAAATCACAACCTAACAAAAAATATTGATTTTTTTATTTATAAAATCCTTAGAATTATGGGAAAGAAATTAATTTTCAATCTACTCTTCACATCTCCATGCAAAGATAAACCAAATTCTTTCCTAGTTATATATATATGATGGCAATGGCAAGACATTGCATCAGAATCATTCTCTAGAAGTAAACCAATACAATCAAGAACACAGCAATGGCAACAACTGGCTTTCTGTTCTCCACAGCCATTGTTTTTATTTCTTTATCTGTCATCTACCTTCTTCCTTCTGCAAATTCTGCAGATTTTTCGGATGATTACAAAAACTCATCGGTCCCCAAAACTGATCTGGATTTGTTGGAGTTCCCTTTGAATCTCGAGTATTTAGAAGCTGAGTTCTTCTTGTTTGGTGCTTTGGGTCAAGGCTTGGATAAAGTTGCTCCACATTTAGCTGAGGGCGGTCCATCTCCCATTGGTGCCCGAAAGGCCAATCTTGTTACTCTCACCAATGCTATTATCCTACAATTTGCTTACCAAGAAGTTGGTCACTTTAAGTTGATCCCTTTCTCTCAAAACCCTATTTTTATTTTTGTGCCTTGATAGTCATATCGAGTCGAGTTGAACTCTAAATGTTATTTTTTCATGTATCGAACTTGTTACCGCTTGACCCGATGTGTGTTTGGTGTATGTATATTTGATGGAACTATGTGTATTCTTTGAATGTAGGGCGATTAAGAAGATAGTGAAAGGGTTTCCAAGGCCACAACTTGATTTGAGTGCTTCATTGTTTGCAAAAGTGATAGATAAAGCATTTGGGAAGCCATTGAATCCTCCTTTTGACCCTTATGCCAATAGCATTAACTTCTTCATTGCTTCCTATTTGATTCCTTATGTTGGACTCACCGGATATGTTGCTTCCTATTTTTTAAGAGGTTGAAATTTAAGAACTTAATTAAGAATTTAAAATTATCAAATCGAAGAATGAAAAATAAATCTATAAATTACAAATAATATCAGAACTAATAACATGATTGTAATTATCAAATTCAGATAATATTATTTAAGTAAAGATTAAATTTTAAAATTTATAATTTTTTGTATAACCACTGGTATCCGATCTATCGATCGACTAATCCAAATCGGATACTGTAAAGGCAAGGGTAACCCTTCCAACATAATTTGCTCCATTCACAATCATCGAGATTTGAACACATGACCTTGCTTAAGAGATCTAGTGACTCACCCCACTAGGCCAACTAATTATTAGTTTTTTAAAATTTATGTTTTAAATATGATTTGTATCATATCTAAATTATTATTTTATGAGTAAGGTGATGACTAGGCTATCAAAAGGATTTGATTAATACGGTGCTAATACTTTAATGATTTCGTAATTTGTGGACCGTAAGATGGATTAACCCACAAAATATGATAATGAATATTTTGGATTTAGACGAGTGTGAAAGCATTGTATGTCAAACGTAGGGATAGGCATGAGTCGGGTTTTTGGTCCATCCGATCCGACCCGAGAATAAGGAGTCATCTACCCGAGACTAGATTTGACCAGACTAAAATAAGTTTTCACCCGACCCGATATATAATTTAAAAACTCGATCAGGCCCAACCCGAAATAATAAAAAAAATATTTTTATTCAATAAAAATAGCGACTTAATTGAAAAAAATAATATATAGAGGGATATTATTGTAGTTATTCTTAAATATTTAAGGTAAAATTATATATTTTTTAGGTAGGGTCGGGTATTTTTCACCCTAAACCCAAACTCGACCTAACTCGAACATCACATTAAAAAAACTCCGACCCAAACCCAAATTTATTTTTAAAAAATACAATATTATCGGGTCGAGTCAGGTCGGAACCCGTCAGATTCGGGTCTCATGCCCATCCCTAGTCAAACGGGATCAAGCAGAACACTTTGTCGGGACTAAGAAAAACAAAACATAAACCAACTAGAAACGTAACTAGTTAATGGAGTTTGCTGTCTTCTTCTTTTATTGTCACTTTAATGTGTTTGGTTTGTAAGAAAATCAAAAGTCTATTATTAATGGCATGAACCCGATTGCACCACGTCTCCTAAACCCTTTAATTAATTAATTAATTTTAATCCGTTGGTGATTAAGTTTAATCAAAGGCCTTAAGTACCTCACTTTTGTAATGAAATCTAGAAGAAGCTTACGTGGTTCATGTCCCATGGACAACTACATGCCCTCAAAAATAAAGAATGAAAGAATATTTATTATTCTAATTATTGTAATTATTGCCCTCTAGGCTTGGTTTGGAATGCGATGATCATTTTATTCGAATTTAATAAAATCTGATGTAACTCAATTTTATAAGGTTAGATTCTTATAAAAGGATCGAATTTGTATTGAATTTTGTAAAAGAAAAGATCGAATGAGATAAATAAATCCTCAACTCATAATGATACTTTAATTTTATTATATATATAATAGAATATATACCAAAATGATTATTTTGATAAATATTAATGTCTAATTTTGACATTATCCCTAAGTTAATAGTATCAATGAATTTGATTGATTGACAACAGAAGTCTAGAATTACAATTTTTCCCACCCCAAATAAAACAATTTCAAAGACAAAGGAACAAAAGTACAAACTAAAGTGATACAAAAACAAATCCTATAATGTTTTTATCTAAGATATTATTCTCATGTTTTCTACAATTTACTTCATATATATATGTGTATATATATATATATCATCTTCCATTTTATCACCAGTTATTGGATTATTGATAGTTCATTTTTCACATGTTAAAGTTGAACTGCTGTTGTAAGAACAAAAAATCATCAGTGTTCAAGAAATTATCTGATGCAGTATCAGCTCCATCTAGCCATGGCTGGAAATCCATGCCATTATTGTAGTAATTAGTAGAAGGACTTATAAAAGATGAGTATCGATGAGAGTAACCAATCTGGCTAGCTTGAAAGTAGTCCGGATTCGGGTTGTCGTTGACCGGGACATTAACGTAATAATCGGACAAATCCGAAACCGGCGAAACTTGAGTCTCCGACGAGGCTGCGGTGCTGGAATTTTCAGTGGTGGAGTAACTTAGGGTTACTCGTTCTCCTCCAAACCCATGAGGCATAACAAATTGTCCCGCGGTGGCGGATGCCGCGGTGTTGGTCGTGGAATTGGCCGCGGAAGCTTGTATTCTTTCGACTAACCTCGGAATCCATTGGTAACGCATAGCGTCCCTGAATTGCTTGCTGTTCACGTCACATTTAAGTTGCTTGGCATGCTTTTGGACACGAGTTCTCCAGTAGTTTTTGATCTCATTGTCGGTTCTTCCGGGCAAGTGTTGAGCAATCTTCGACCATCTGCAATCGATTTAATGAAAATGATAACGTTATCGGTATAGTCACATACTCACAGTCAGAGTAACAAAAATTTTGCGTTCGTCTCTGAGAATTGTCATATGACATGATAGATAAGATTTTGAATTCGAGTTAAAAGATTACCGATTTCCCCACCGAGAGTGAAGTTCGAGAATCATAAGTTGTTCTTCGAGTGTGATGTTTCCGCGTCGAAGGTCCGGACGAAGATAATTTAACCATCTCAATCTGCAGCTTTTTCCGGTCCGTTTGAGACCTGTATGTGTCGTTGGAATTCTATTTAGATACCATAAGCTTTGGTAAAGTTATATACATATGTATGTATGGATGGATGCATGCATGTAGATGTGTATGCATGTATATGTTGGAGAACAAGTGCTAGACATGAGCTGTTGCTTTTTTGCTTGAAAACTTTGATTATTATACGAACATCATGAACCTCACACTCAAAGCCACAAATTCTCTTGCTCTTTTTCCCACATGGAACATGCAGCTTTTACTTTTCCAAGTTGGTAATAATTAATTAGAATTAACTGCAATAAGTCCTCAAACTATCGTTTAGATTCTAAATTAGTCTCTAAACTGCACAACATCCAATTCGAATCCTCATCGTATCTAAACTTTTCATATAATAGGTGCATACGTGTTTACAATCTAATCAGCATGTTGCAAATATATTTCTTGTCAGATTTGAGCCAACATTTAAGCCCCAAAACTAATAGCCAGGGTGAGAGAATGCTTTGATTCAACCCCTAAACCCTAAATGTTAAAATTTTAATATTCTTATAATTTAAATATTTTTTGTATTATCGTTAAATGATCTAATTTTACGCTCCTAAAATTGTATGATTTTGCATCCCCTAAATTTCTAATATACTTCCTAAAGGTTCACAACCCCTAAGATAGAATCATGTGCTCGTTCCTGAATAGGATACTAATCATGCTTTGAGAATTCAATCAAAACACTTTGAAGCTTTGGATCAATTTAAAATTTGAACAATAGTTCGAGGATATCCGATGGAATTAACCCAAACGAAAGAAAGGATAAAATACCAGGGTTTCTTCTCCTTTTTCCTCATCAGAAACTCAAAGGTAAACATGAAGTTGGCAGTTCCGTACTGTTTTAGTGTTTTATGCCATGAAAAACAATCAACTCCATTAAGTCCATAACATGAAGATGAAAAACATGTACATACATACATATGTGTATGTATGTATATATTACCTGCGTCATGAGCAAGAGGATTCCATCGACCTTCACCATGAGTAAGAATGTAATTGACGAGCTTTAAATCTTCTTCAACAGTCCAAGGACCTCTTCTCAGCTCCATCTGATCATCTTCTTGATCACTTTGCACGTTACCCTTTGCTTTAACATCCATTATTTCCCCTTTAATGGAGTCTCTCAGACAATATATATATATATATATATATGTATGAGAAAAATATCCTTGGACATAGAGAAAGGGAAGGAAGAAGATAAGGAGAGATGGCTCAAAGTGGGGGGGGGGGGTTTATAGATGGATATTGGTCTTTGAAAATGGAAGTAGCAAAAGGGGTAGCCCCCAAATAGGAACTTGCTTTGGTTTAACTACACAAATTAACTCATTAATTAATGGACTCAATTGTAATTATCATTGTAGCAAATAGGCCCTTTGAAGCTTGACTTCTTGACTTCTTTTCTTTCCAATTTTCATCAGCCCATGGAAATCGTTTTCTGTTTTTTTTCTTTCTATTTTAATTGTCTAATTCTGAATTTCATCCTTGTATTTTACAAATATTGAAAAGTTATTTCTTATATGTTAATTTATAAGAATTGGATCTTTATACTTTGTGAATATTGAGAAGTTAATCTAATTGTTTATAAATATTTAAACTCAAATTAAAAACGAATCCCAGAGGGCATTATTAGTTTAATAACCTTAAAAATTCATTTTTTGGAACATTTACACAAGATCCAATATTAAATTCGAGAAATTAAATTTATTAGCTATATCAAAATAAACTCGCTTTATGCAAAAAGCAAGTTCCATTAAAAGCCCAACACATTTAAAAAATGCACTTTAATCAAATTTGACAAAAATAATACCATAGGGACTAAAGACATAATTTGATAAATTTTAGTCCCATGAGCTGAAAAGCATAATGGTGGTAGTTTATATAGGCATAGTGGAGTGTTTATGCTATGTTTCTTAGTGACGTGGGATAAATGCTAACATGAATTCTTCTACCTTTTTCTTATGTAATTTTTAGTTTTTTATTTTTACTTAACCCATATATGAACTCAAATTAAATATTTTGATAATTTTTTTTTGACAAATTCTTTCTTAAAATTTTCTTGTATCTTTAATGTTAATAAAAATTAACTTTTAATAAAAATAATTTTATCAAAATATTTAATTTTAGTTCATATATGTTTTAATAAAAAAATGTTTTTTAAATTTATCAAAATATTTAATTTTAGTTAATATATAATTTAATAATAAAATTTAATGGATTAAGTAAAAATAAAAAAAATAAAAAAAAATAAAAATTATATGAGAAAAAAAATAGAATAA